GGATGCAAGGGGGAACTTTTTATTTCACTCTTTCAACTAGGAGGGGTAGAACAAAGTCTGGTGAGAAAAAATTGAAGAGAAAGTTCACTTAGCAAATGATAGATGTCTAAATAAGTTCAAACACTGACTTGGAAATACAAACCAGAGTGTTAGTAGAATTTTCAGATGCAATTTCTTTAATCTTTAAGAAAGATGGAAAATGAGAAAAGTTCCAAGACACCGCCCCACAGTTTTATTTTTTGAAAGTAGAAAATGTCTTTGAACTATAGATTTGAGGGCCTGCTGATTTTTCAGTTCAAAAATTCTAGGATTTACATTAAAATTCAGTAAAACCTTGCTAAATCAAATCATGCCTCTGATATAGTTTATGAAGAGAGCAGAAACAAGGAATCATAAAATTTTAAACAATCTATTTCAAATTCAGTAACTCATAACCTTTGCAGATCAGATAAAAGCTATATACCCTTTTGAAGTACAGTAGTTAGAACTGCAGTATAACAAACCATCCCAAAACTTAGTGACTTAAAACAACTATAGATTGAGCAATTCTAATTCAAAAGCCCAAATTCCAAAATGCCCTAACATCTGAATTTTTTTGAGCACTGATGTGATGCCACCAGTTGAAAATTCTACATTTGACTTCATGTGATGGGTCACAGTTCAAGGCAAACACACTAAAAATAATGTGTAAAACTATCTTCAGGTGTATATACAATATGTATGTGAAAGAATTTTGCACTTAGACGTGGGTTCTGTTGCTAAAATATCAAGGTATATGCAAATATCAAAAATTTTTTAAAAATCTGAAATCAGAAACACTTCTGATTCCAAGTACTTTAAGTAAGAATGACTCAACCTATACCATTAATTTCCTCACAGTTCTGCAACTTGTGCTGGGCCCAGTGGGGTGATTCTTCTGCTGGCTTTTCTGGGATCACTCAGATTGCTTCAGGTCTTGATGGCTGAGCTGAGGCTGAATGGCCTAGATAGCCTCACTCACATGTTTGATGGTTATTTTGGTTGTCAGCTGGGCCAGCAGCAGCTGGGGCTTATTTATTTGGAGGTAGCAGCATTCCAAGAGAATGAAGGCAAGAATTTCAGGGCTTCTTGAGGACTTGAATCATACGACAACATTGGTGCCTCATTCTTTTGGTTGGAGGGTATCACAAGCATAGCCCAGCTCAATGAGCAAGGAAATAGACAAAACCTTCAGATGGGAAATGCTCTAAAGATTCGTGACCATATTTAATTCACCACATCTCGTCTCACAAAAATGCTTGTACTCTAATATATACAAAGACTTCAGACATTTCAGAGGACTCATGAATTTTCCACCTCAAATGAAGAACCTTTTGTCTAATCATGCATATATTTAACTGAGAATACTAACGCTCGAGGAGATTTAGAACTTGCCTAAGGTCAACAGATATTTATGTAGACTATAGACACATGAGTGTAACCTGCTGCCCACCTTTTGGGGGGCAGTAATTGAGCCCAGGGCCTTCACAGTGAGCTACACCCACACTCCTGCTTTTTAAAACTTTTGTGAGAGGTCTCAATAAGTTGCCCAGGCTGGATTCAAACTTGCAATCTTCCTGCCTCAGTTTCCCAAAGTGCTGGGATTACAACCGCTTGTCACCACATTTGGCATTACTCAAAACTTCCAGGATCATGTCATTTCCGTGATGCCCCAATGAAATTCATTCTATTATTGCAGGAAATAAATTTCAACAATTTTATCAATCATCGCTCAACCACCAGATCAGGATTTAAGTCAGAACTATGTAATATAATATAATATAATATAATATAATATAATACTTTCTTTTATTAGTATATTCTACACATTTCCATATGAGAAAGTAGTCTGATTGAAATTACATGTGAGGAATAAATTATTTTATTAATTTGTAAATTGGCACAGTTGTGGACAGGTCCCTAAGTTTAGCTCTCTTTTTTTTATTGGCAGGTATTTTCTTTTCTTCAGTTAACTCCCATGGGAAAATTGATTGCAACAAATAATTTATGATTAGCAGGATTGTTCTCACTTTTAAAGTCATCCATTTTGAAACATCATACATTGATAAGAACAACAAGAAATCAGTTTATACTGATTTTTTTTTTTTTTTTTTTGGTTTTTCTCCGGTACCAGGAACCGAACTCACGACCTTGTGCTTGCCAGGCAGGCGCTTTTGCCACTGAGCTAAATCCCCAGCCCCAGTTTATACTGATTTTGACTTGTAAAAAATAGGTACTTTTTTTTATTTTTTATTTTTTATTTTTTTCTCATACAGATAACTAAAGGAAAATTGATGTAATTTAGTTTATTTCCTTTTTGCCAGTGGATGGCTTTTCAAATGAGAACTTCAGGTGTTACTTGCTTTTTAAAAGATTATTAGTATGTTATTTTGTTTTTGAATTTTTTGTATGAATTTGGTAAGCTGATCTAGCACAAATGGATGGAGAAGTAATTAGTTTTCAAACATCTAATTTGTTGACATACTAAGTATCTTGGTTACTTTTCTCTCATTGCTGAGACAAAATACCTGACCAACAAAATTAAGAAAGGAAAACTTTATTTAGCTCACAATTTGTAGTGCTTTCAGTCCATACTTGGCTGGCTCCAAGGCAGAGTGGCACAAGGCAGAGGGCAACAGTTCATGGTGGTGGAAAATAGCAAAAGCAGCAAGAGAAAACAGGGAGGAGCATGAGAGAAGACTTTTTCTGTCCCTTATACTGTATGTAGGCTACCCACCCTAGGGTGAGTGTAGCACTCACACCCATAATCCCAGCATTGGACCATGGATCAATCATAAACTCTACAAGCCCACCCCATGACTGCATGAGGCTTTGAGAGGACATCTGGACACAAACCATAACATAAAGGTAAGGGTTTTTTAAGCAGTTTTTTTTTTTTTAATTTGTGCTGTGCTGTTGGAGATTTGAACCTACACACGCCAGACAAATACTGAAAGATAAAGTTTTAAGAAAATTCTTTATCATAAAAATGTTCAAACATAGAGATGTCAAACACACACACAGAGCAATAAAAAAAGAGTAAAAGGAACACCTGTATCCCAACGACTTTAATCCATAATTATTCACATTTTACTACCCTTTAATTCATCTACCTGGATTTTTTCTTGTCCATCACCCTCTATTCCCTATGCACGCCTCTCCAAAGAACAAGGACACTAGTGTACATAACCAAATTCCAACATAGTCCACTTAGTGCATTAATAGAAATTCCTTAATATTATACAATCTAGTCCATATTAAAATTTTTACCTTGAGTTCATAGATTATTTTTTCCAAATTAGAATCCAATCAAGGAACATATGTTACAACTGTTGTGTTCAGTCATTTTCCACCTACAATAACATAACCCCCCACCTAACCATATTTCCCATGTACTGACTTTAAAGAAACTAGGCTTGCAGGTTAGTTTTGTTATCCCATATTCTGGACTTTTATTTTTTGTGACAGAGTCTTGCTATGTAGTCCAGATTGGCCTTGAACTTGCTATGTAGCCTAGGTGGGCTCAAACTTTAGATCCTCCTATCTCAGCTTGGTATGTGCCACCATGCTCAAGTTGGTGTTTTTTAATTTTTTCTAGATGGTGGTTTAACTTGTTCCTCCATGTTTAATATAGCCTCTATATTTGAAGTCTTGGTTGAGTTAAGATTACTCATTTTGAAGAATACGCTATATGTGGGGCTGCCTACTTTATAATACATGACCTCAGTCTGGTTGTTAGACTACTAGTGGTGCTATTATGGTTTGTCTCTAGCATGTCCCCAGTAGCTCATGTGTGGAAGACTTGGTTGCCAGCTGTTGGCACTGTTGGAAAGTGTTAGCAGGTGGGGCTTAGCTGGAGGAAGTAGTCATTGGGAGTGAGCCCTGGAAGGCATACTGGGACAGTGGGTCCTTCCTCCATCCCTCTGGCTACTATCAGGTGAGAAGCTTTGCTCCACTACACACTTCAGCCATGATATTCTGCCTACCACAGGCCTAGATCTATAAAACCAACTGGCCATGGACTGAAATCTCTGAAACCATGAGCCAAAATAAACCTTTTCTCCTTTAACTTGAATTAGCTGAGCTATTTTGTCACAGCAACAGAGAGATAACTACCACAGATGCCAAGTTTGATCCTTGAGTTAATGTGATAGCACCACAGCTGTTTTCATTAACACGCTGTCTTTTCCCCTTGTCAATTTGCTATCATCAGTGGGGTGATAATTCGGTGCTATGCAAATGCCCAGTTACCTAAAGTGAATTTTTAAAAAACATAACTGGGCCAGATGTGGTGGTCCATATTTATAATCCTAGCACTCAGGCTGAGACAGGAAGATCACAAATTTTGGGCAGCTTAGTGATTCAGCAAGACTATGCCTCAAGTTTAAAAAAATGAAAAGGGATGGGGCTGTAGCTCAGTGTGAAAGCCCTGGATTCAATCCTCAGTATTGCTAAAATAATTAATAATAATAATACAACTAAAAAACATAACTGATTATATGATTGATTGGTTGATTGATTGGTGCGAGGGGTTGGACCCAGGGCCTTGTGCATGCTAAGCATGCACTCTACCACTGGGTTATACCCAGGCCCTAAGATTTTGATAAAAATTATATTTAGTTTTTCAAGCCAGGCATGTTGGCACAAGCTTGTAATCATAGCACTCAGGAGACTGTGGCAGGAGGATCACCGAGAGGTTGAGGCCAGCTTGGGCTATATAGCGAGACCCTGTCTCAAAAAAAAAAAAAAAAAAACAGAAAAAAAATTTTTTGAGATGATATATATTCAACCTAAAACTATGAAAACAAGCCAATATCCACATTTAACCTTTAGATAATTGTTCATTTCTGCTCATACCTTTGTTATTTTGAGTACCACCCTGGTTTAGGGTAGTCATGAACACCTGACTAGTGAACTGAACATTAGCTGGCATCACGAGCATTGTTTCCCTATCCATTATTTTTGTTTTGTGATTATTATAGGCTGACTGCAGAATAAAGCAACACAGAGTGGTATGGAATGGAATGAGATCAAGGAAGGACTCCGCATACTAAGGAGCCAGACCTTGATGTAGGTAGGTGGCCAGTAGATGCTCACTGTGAAATAATTGTGTTGTACATTGAAATTGCAATGTGGTGCTCTTGAAACAGCATTTTTTGCTTCCTTTTCTAACCAAGTCAAAAGACATAAATGCGATTATACCGGTCACCGAACATGGTGGTATCAAGCCTAATTACGAATAGGAAATCATACCAAAGTCTGTGTTGGTTCATTTTCTTTATTTCATTTGCTTTTGCTTCACCCCATCTGTGACTCATTGGCCTTTCATCATCCTCCACAATGATCCTGCAAGAGAATCAATCGTGAAAAATATGACATGGGTGCACCCACTTCCAACCTTGTTTCACATCTCATTTATTATTTGTACTGTGGTCTCACTTAAAAGCCAGGGTTTCTGAGACTACAGAGCACATACCTTTAATTCCCAGGTGAAGAGGGAGAAAGAGTCAGTGAGAACAAGAGCAAGCAAGAGGAAAAGCTTAGCTCTGAGAGAGTCCTTGATGGAAATGTGAGGAAAACAAGAGTATTCAGAAGTCTTACAGACAGATGAAATCTCTAGACACTAGAAAGCTGGAAACTACCCAAACCTCGATTTAGTAGAATACAGAAAAGTGATGAAGACCAGGACTAGTATTTTTTTCTTCAGCAAGAGGTTAGTTACTTAAGGACCACATTCCCAGGATTAGAAGGATTTGTATGAATAGTCCAGGGAACATTTATCTGTAGTTGAACATGCAAAATGAAGCAATGGGATTCTGTAGAGCCACCAATTACATGAGACTATATTTAAAACCTGAAATTAGCACTGGGGGTAATTGTATTAATGGGATGTGAATAAGTAAAACCTATATTAAGTAAGAATTACGTTTTTTCAATTAGCTGACATTTTCAGGTACTAAAATCCAGGTGCTTGGAGGAGACAAACCCTATTCAAACCCATTTGGGTTTAATATAATTCTTTTAAAGAAAAACAAAAATAAGACCATGTGCTGAAATATCTCATGCCAGTAGCACAATTATATTTAGTTAACCCACTTGCTTTTTTTTTAAGAGTAGGAAGCATTTATGGTGAGAAAGAAAGCTTCTCTCTTAGAGGGACAGAAGGGGGCCTGGAAGGTGGGTTGCCTCTCAACACACTTTCCTGTCTGTACTCCTAGGTAGAAAACAGTCACTTACAATGAAAACTGCTTGGGTATGGGCTGTGTGGCTTTAAAAGAAGATCCCTCCCCAATTCTCCACAAGTTGTGTGCTTTACTGATGCACTCCCTGCCCCAAAACATTTTGGGAGACAGAAGAAAGTTTACCTATCAGAGAATGAAAGACAAAGGGAAATTTTCCTGTTACTGGTGAGGATGGATATTTCCCCCTTTTTTTCTAAGAAAGCTCTATGTCACATTTAGAAGAAACTTCATACCAGACATGGTGATGCATGCCAGTAATCTCAGGACTATGGGAGACTGAGGCAGGAGGATTATGAGTCCAACCCCAGCCTGGGAAATTTAGCACAAACCTGTGTTAAAATTAAAAAAAAATTTAAGTACAGTACTAGAATTGTATGTTATGGTTTATATCTAAAATGTCATCCAAAGCCTCATGTACTCCTAGGTGGGGCTTTTGGGCATGACTGGATCATGGGTGTGTGATACTGGATCATAAGAATGTGGTAACTGGATTAGTCCACTGATAGGTTAACACAGTTCTGGGTGTGGATAATAGGAAACCACTCTGGGTGTGGATAATAGGAAGACCACCAACCAATAGGCTTTTAGCCTGGATGGACTAAAAAGGGAAAGAAGGAAGGCATGCTGCTTTCTGCCTGCCTTGCCATGGACTGTTTCTCCACTGCCATACTAGCCTGCCTTGGAACCAGCTGACTATGGACTGAAGCCTCTACAAACTGTGAGCTACAATAAACTTTTCTTTCTTTAATTTGTGGGTGATAGGCATTTTGCCCCAGCAACAAGAAAGCAACTAAGACAATATAGCTCAAAAAAAAAAGGCCCTGGGTTCAATTCTCAGAACCATATTTCCTCCACACTACCACAAACACACACACACACACACACACACACACATGCAAACACAAAGCTCAAATTTTACCACTAATGTGTTTGAGGCAATTAATTCTTCATCAGTACATTTTTCAACAAGGTTTCTTCATTCTGGAAACTTCAGTGTGACATGGAACATGAAATAAAAAAGTAACAGACACTGAACCACAGCTTTCATCTTCTCACTAAAGGGAACTTGGCTGGGAGGGACAAAAGACAATTTCCTGAGCTTCCACATTTTACTGTTCCATTTGAACAAATTCCTCTTACATTCAATGCTGCCATTTTCAACTTAACATTCTTAAAGATTGGGTGGCCAGTTCCTAGTAAAATAACCCACAGAGACGCATCACCCAGTGATGCTCACTGAAGTTGCTAATGGTGAGAATTCTCGTACAAGGGTGTGAGCGACCTCATACAAGGGAGACAGTTTCCATGGAATATAATTATAAAGGTCTCCATTGTCTGGCTAGCCACTGGAGAATTGGAAGGAATATAATTATGGCTTTTTGTATCAGACCAGAGACTCAATGGGCAAGAAATTAAACTTCATGATGCAATTAAAAATCTATTTCAAGCCTTCTTTCATCAGTTCAAGTAATTTTCTTGCCCATGATATCACACATGAATTGTGGGGTGGCTCACACAGAACCATGGCATTGGAGGGACACAGGTTCCGCAAGTTGACTCTACTCAACGGACTCTGAATTGCCCATCAATATAGATTGTCCCTGGCCACAAATTCAGTGTTATAATGGCCCCTTCATTTCCCCTTCTTGCCACCTCCCTGCTATTCTTGGGCACACAGTAGTTTTTCTACCTTTCTACCTTCTGAGGCCTAGACTTTTGTGATGCTAAAACTTAAATAACCCAGGATATAATACATGGCCATATTTTCCCCCTTCCGAATTTCTCCCATTCTTTGGGCTTACTCCAGAAAATGGGGTCCAAGTTTCCTCTGTGTTAGGTCTGTGAAAGTTTTTGCCCATTGTCCAGGAGCAAGGTACACAGACCTTTCTCAGGAACCCATCACTGTCTCTTTCATGCTTGCCTCCCTTCCGTCGCATTCTCCCTGGCTGGAGAATCCTTTTATGGTACACAGGGTGGAAATGATTTGCTTTCAGTGCCAGTTCCTTTCCCCCAGTGAGTGGCTTTTTAAAAACTATGGTAAGGTACGCATAACATACAACTTACCTTTTTAACCACTTTAAATGTGTTCAGGCTGTTGTACTGGTTAAGCTTAACTGTCAGTTTGACTGCATTAAGAGACTCCTGGAGAGAAGATTGGATCATGAGAATGGTTTGCACTCATCAGTGGATTAACCAGCTGATGTTCATAGCTGAATGTGCTGTTAGAAGCTGGGGCTCAGTTGGAGGTGGGGACCTGTCTTTGGAGGGTGCATCTTTCACTGGCACTCTTCCCCTGTGCTCTGCTTCCGGGATGCCATATAGTAAGCAGCTTTGCTCCTCCATGGCCTTCTGGTCAGTGTTCCTGCCTTGGAGCCAAGCTACCATGCACTGGAGCCTCTGAAACCATGAGTGAAAATAAACTCTTTCTCCTGTAAGTTGTATATGTCAAAAATTTGGTCCCAGCAACTAAAAGCTGACCAATACAGGCATTAAGAATAGTCACATTGCTGTGCAACCATCACCACCATCCACCCCCAGAATTGTATCTTTTTTCCCCAAAATGGAGCTCTGCAATCATTAAATACTAACTCTCCATTCTCTTTTCCCTCCAGGCTCTGACAACCATCATTCTCCTTTCTGTCTCTATGAATTTGACTATTATAAGTATTTTATATAAGTGAAATTGTATGATATTTTTCCTTTTGTTACTGGCTTATTTCACTTAATATCATGTCTGCAAGACTCACCCATATTGAAGCATTGTCAGAACTTTCTTGTCTAAGGCTGAATAATGTTACATTGTCTAGCTGGGCATGATGGTGCACTCCTGTAATGCCAGCACTTGGGAAGCTGAGGCAGGATGATTGCTGAGAGTTCAAGGCCAACGTGGGCTACATAGTGAGTTCAAGGCCAGCCTGAATCACACAGCAAGACCCTGTCTCAAGAAACAACAACAAAAAAATTCCATTGTCTAAACGTACTATGTGTTGCCTGTCCATTCCTGCCTCTATGGTGCTTGCATTTTAATACCTTTTGGCTATTGTGACTGATGCTTCTGTGAACACTGGTCCTGTTCAAGCTCCTACCTTCAGTTCTCTTGGATCTACACCCAAAAGTAAAATTGGTGGATCCTATGACAGTCGTGTGTTTGTTTGCTGTGCTAATATTTCATCACTCTGACCAAATGTCTGAGAAAATCAACTTTAAAGAAGAAAGGTTTGTTTTGGTTCATGGTTTCAGAGGTTTCAGTCCATGGTCTGGTATCTTTTGGGACTATAGGGAGGCACAACATCACAGCAGAGGAAAGCTGCTTACCTTATGGCACCCAGAAGAGGAAAGGAAGGAGAGAAAGGAAGAAGGGAGGGAAAGAGGGGAACAGAGAGAGAAGAAACTGAGAATGGGTTGGGGATAAAATATGCTCTTCAAACTCATGCCCTCAATGATCTACTCCCTCCAAACAGGCCCTGCCTCCTGAAGTTTCCACTGTCTCCTCATAGTGCCACCAGCTGGGATGAAGCCTTCAGCACATGAACCTCTGAGGGACATTCCAGATCTAAACTACAACTGCTATGCTGCTTTTCACAACCTTCTACCATCCCCCACCCGTAGTGCACAAAGATTCCATTTCCTCTATATCTTCACTCACCAGTGATTTTTAACCTTTGACACTTAGGATTAACACTTCCTTGTTGTTCAGGGCTGTCTCACTCTTCACAGAAGTTTAGCATCCCTGGCCCCAGACACTATCTGTAGGTGATGGGATAACATTTCCCAGTTTTTCTGATAAACACCTCACTCACACATTTTTATATGTCTCCTAAGGAGCGGGAAC